AAGTGCATCTACTTTCTATAAAATCGCAATTACAATTATAAACTGTGTTAGAACCGCAAACGCAACCCCATCTACTTCTTATAAAATCGTAACCACAGTTGCAATTGCAATTTTCTGCAAAGCAAGCAATTCTATAAAATTGGTGAACCCTTATTTTATCTCCAAAACCATATATTTTGTTCTTATTTAAAAGGAAATTATTTTTCGAAAAGTTATCGCTTGAAATCATATTTACACACTACATAGGAGTCCCCGTCCACATATCACTCCCTCTTCCATACAGTCATAGGCCTTTCCCGCTTAATCTTTCCTAACAGACTAATTCGAATCAATGGCCGATCTCACTCTATCCAACAAATCCAACGGTCACGATTATGCATCTCCGTTACGATCCAACCCGATACGCTACCGAACTCGTCTCGGTTTCGGTGATGGTGTCGCCGTCTCCCTCCCTCTCTCTCTTCTCTCTCTCCTCTCCTCTTCTCCAAACACGCCTTCGTTCTCTTTCTCTCTCCTCCCCCTTTCTTCCCTTATCCTCCCCCAACCTTTGCTTATTTACACATTGACCCCTTCCCTCCTCCCCCTTTTTATCTCCACCAACAATTCTCCACGTCACCATCTTCTTCCTCCTCCCCTCTCTCTTTCTCTCTCCTCTCTCTCTATTCAACCACTTTCTCTCTCCTAGGGTTTCAATAACCGTTCGAAGGCGCCGTCGATCGTCACTTTCTCGGTACGCTCTCTCCTCCGCCCTCCCTCCGCCCGCCTCTAATCTAGGGTTCCCTCCTTTAATTGTGCCCTCTTTTGTTAAATTAGGGTTAGGGTTTGGGAGCTGATGGCGATTGTGAAGTCCACTAGCGGTAGGGTCTCGAGATTCGACGGCGACGACTCGCCGGAGATGATCTCCGCCGATGAGTCCGACGATGAGGAGGAGGTCTCGGATTCTTCGGATTTGGGCATGGAATCGGATCCTTCGGATGCGGATTCGGGCATGGAGTCCGATGAATTCGATCTATCTGAACTTGGTGAGGCTAATTCAGAGCTATGTCAAGTCGGTAACCAGAGCTTTTCTGTTCCTTTTGAGATTTTTGATCTCCCTGATCTAAGTTCAGTTCTTTCGTTGGAAACTTGGAATGAGTGTTTAACTGAGGAGGAGAGGTTTGGCCTATCGGCTTTCTTACCCGATATGGACCAAGAAACTCTAGCCCGAACCCTAACGGAGCTTTTTTCTGGTAAAAATTTCCACTTTGGGAGTCCTATTCATGATTTGTTTAGTAAGTTGAAAGGTGGGATGTTGGATCCAAGAGTGGTGCTTTATCGTAGAGGTTTGAGTTTCTTTCGAAATAGAGAGTATTACCATTCGCTCAGAAAGTATCAGAATTCGATGGTGGGGGGTATCTTTAAAATTCAGGATGCTTGGAGGAACTGTTCAGGGTATGGGATTGAGGAAAGATTGCGGCTTTTGAACATTTTCAGAAGTCAGAGGAGTTTGGTTTTTGAAAGGAATGGGGATGTTGGGTCAGAGACTGATTTGGACAATTCGGACGAGGCTTTGTTGGATAAAAGGCTTAAGATGACTTCAGAGCCAATGAGGTTTGGGAAAGAAAATTCAAAGGGCATTCTGAAGGTTGCTCCTACAAAAGCTTCTATGAAAATGGAGTACATGGGTGTTGAGGATCAGTACCCTTCGTCTGGCAAGTGTGATTTCAAGAAGAAAGATAAGACTTCCAAGGGGCTTTTGGGTTTTCCTCGAAGGGGTCAAGTGGACAGGTTTGATTTAGGAGGCAGTCGAAAGGCTTGGAATCAGATAAGGAAGGGTGAGGATGAGGCCGAGGAAGAAGAAGAGGATGCTTACGAGGAGCACTCTCAGGCATTGAATGCTAGGGCTAGATTGCCGAAATCAGGAAACAGGGAGCTATTGAAACAAAATGCTAGGGTTATGGAAGATCAGTTTGGTGATGTACAAATCAAGGGCAATGTTGGGCTGCCACAATATAGCAACAAGAGTAGGATTCCCAGTCAAGGGGTCACCATAGCTGCCTATAACCCTCATTCCCTTGAAACTATGAGCAACGCCAAGTATCCTGCCAAAGATTGGATGTATCCTGTTAAAAATCGGGGGCATCAAGTTAAAGACGTCATTCCCTTGGGGCGACAAGTTAAAGCTCAGGAGTCCATGATTAAAAACAAGAAATGGAAACCTAATGAAAGTGACTCGTATGTCAAGACAGTACAGGGAAACTTCAAAGCCAAATCTGCTTATAATGGTGGGATTGCGAAAGAGTACTCTTTGGTTGGTACTATGTTCAGCCAGAGTGATGAGACAGAATCTGATTCCTCTGAGAAGCTTGAGGAAGATGGAGAATTAAGTCCATACCCGAACAAATTTGGGTATCCAACTGGTGCCAGCAAGAGGACAGCGTATGATTCTAAGAAGAGCGGGAAGATTACAAAGGTAGATATTTCCCAAGGAAATCATAAAAGTAAAACAGCTGATCCCAATTATGTGGAAGATGTTGTGTTGGTTAAGAAAACTCTGGCACCGCATCCTATTGGAAAGTTGCAGAAGCCATGGCATAAGTCATATACAGCAGATAAAAAGAGGAAAGGTCCTGTTGTTCTGGACCATTCTTCAGAGTCAACTTATATGCGTGATTATGGACGTGGCATACTGGATGAATATGCAGAGTATCCGGGTCGAACCTCTCCTTGTCCTGATGGCCAGATGGTGATGGTGACTGATACTCTTACCACTGGGGCCAATCACTATGGCAGACCGATTATGCCCTTGTTAGGATGCAATTCTGTGACTAAGAAACGAAAAGGGTATGCTGATGTTAATAATGAAGATGAGACTGAGGAATCTTCTTACCCACAATCTAGTCCTATGCTGCTGATTGATGAGTCAAATTCCATTAAGAAGAAGGGAAAAAAGAAAGCAGATGCTGTAACTGTTCCATCTGTTTCAACTCCAGATAAAATGATACCAGAAGTAGAAACAGCTGACGTTGAACTGAAGCCAAAGCCTCAGAAGAAGCCATTCACACTGATCACTCCCTCTAAACACACTGGCTTTTCATTCTCCATTATACACCTCCTTTCAGCTATCCGGAAGGCGATGACTACTACTACTGTGGAAGATACTGCAGATATTGTCAATAATCTTGATAAGGGTGATGTCAAACTAAAACCAAGAAGCGAAGAGAATGAAGCACTTCAGCCAATCAATAATACAGACTTGCCTAACTCTCTTGAGAATTTGGATGTCAATGCTCCAGAGTCTGCAGCGCATGACAATATACCTTCTTTTACACTTCAAGAGATTGTTAATCGAGTCAGATCAAACCCAGGAGATCCTTGCATTCTCGAAACACAGGAACCTCTTCAGGATTTGGTCAGAGGCGTTCTGAAGATATTTTCATCGAGGACAGCGCCACTAGGAGCAAAGGCTTGGAAGGCACTTGTATCATATAAGAAATCAAATAAAAGTTGGTCCTGGGTGGGTCCTGTTTCTTCTAGCTCATCTGATAATGATACTATCGAAGAGGAAACTTCTCCTGAAGCATGGGGTCTTCCCCATAAAACTCTTGTGAAGCTGGTCGATTCCTTTGCCAATTGGCTAAAGAGTGGCCAGGAGACCCTTAAGCAAATAGGAAGCCTTCCCCCACCACCTGCGGCGATGTTTCTCCAGTTGGATGAGAAGGAAAGATTCAGAGACCTAAGAGCTCAGAAGAGTCTTAACACTATTAACCCAAGCTCTGAAGAAGTGCGGGAATATTTTCGTAAAGAGGAACTACTGAGGTACTTAATTCCGGACAGGGCCTTTTCTTATACTGCTGTTGATGGGAAAAAATCTATTGTTGCTCCACTGAGAAGGGGAGGTGGTAAGCCAACATCAAAGGCTCGAGACCATTTTATGCTTAAAACTGATCGTCCGCCACATGTCACTATTCTTTGTCTTGTGAGAGATGCAGCTGCGAGGCTGCCCGGCAGTATTGGAACCAGAGCAGATGTTTGTACTCTAATCAGGGATTCCCAATACATTGTTGAAGAGGTTTCGGACGAAAAAGTTAACCAAGTTGTTAGTGGAGCTTTAGACAGATTGCATTATGAGCGTGATCCTTGTGTACGGTTTGATTCAGATAGAAAATTGTGGGTTTATAGGCATAGGGACAGGGAGGAGGAAGATTTTGAGGATGATGGTACCTCATCCACAAAGAAATGGAAGAGGCCTAGAAAAGATGCTGCAGATCAGCCCGAGACTGGAGCAGGAAACGATGCAATCTGTCCTGCTATTGAAGATACAGTTCCGGATGGTTCTGGTGGATATGATTTGAATCCTGATCTTAATGCTGATATGTCATCTGTCCTAGTGACAGAAAGTATACCTGTTTGTAATGATTTCAGAGCGAACATGGAGAATATTCAGCCATATATTGACCCATCATCAGGTGGTGGGGGTCAAGGTGATGCCATGAGTTGGCAGCCTCTTGAGTTAAATCCCTTGGGTGGAAACACAATGCTTTGTCAACAGAACTCCACAAATGAAGATTATCAGGATGAAACCTTCAGCAGAGAACGGGCAGTTGGACTCTTGAGTGCCAGCTTATTGTGAATACTGGGTTTGCTACACCATTTCCTACATGTTTATACTGCAGGATTGACCAAGGTAATCTTTGAAATTGATTAATGCAACTGTTTCAACTTTCTTGATTGTATTTCTAGCCTGTGCATGCCAAATTTGAAATTTTATTGATTAAGTTACGTGGTTATTGAAGTTATCACTTATTATTATTTCTGACTAAACAAACATTGTCGAGCGATCTCAAGGGCATATTTCCTGAATTTTCTTCCCTAATATTTCCTTCATGTTGGATTTCCGCTGCAATTAACTTATTGATGAACATGTTTTTAACCATTCTTAGTAACTCAGTGTATCGGTAAGTTGTATGATGTGATGATGGATGGATGTAATTGTTAATGCGGTTTATAGCTTTTTGAAGATTCAAAATGAAATGCTGCAACTACTGTATTGTTAGACATCTTTTTGTCTAGTCTCGATATGCCTACCGTTCAGTTTTTTCTGGTATATATGTTCATGCTTATCATAGTTGGTAATCTTCTAGAACTAGGGACACCACAAAGCACTATGAATTGATAAAAAGGTTCACTTACTTGATAGAGGAGATGGGGCCCTACTAGAGTTGATTTAAGAGAGAGGTTCATCCAGCCATTTAACAAACATCAGTATTGTATTATGTGTAGGGACTTATTGGGTATGTTTTGCTTCTATGCACTCATCTGTTTTGCAATGATGAACTTTGTGGTTTATACACCCAACTAAGTTAGCACAGGTAACTGTATGAATGTGTTAGATTTATAATCATTAAACAAGCTTTAGGTAATATTTCTTTCTCTAAAGCACAACTGCTGGTAATCTATTACTATTATTTAAGAAAACCAGGCTTTTGGTTTAACTTTTTGGTTATACCCATTGCGAGTCGCAGATTGAAAAAAATCCAACAAGGTCCTTATAACTTGGAAAATTCAGAAACCTAAAGACATGTATATAAGGGGTAACAGTTGGAAAATTCAGAAACCTAAAAACTAAATATCAGTTTGCATGACTCCCCACGTTATGGATCTTACAACCAATTATATCTGTCTACCTGCCCTTGCTTTCTCTACCATCTCTGTTATCCTGGCCCTCCACCTTCATCTGCCATGCATATTGGCTCTGTCTCGGTTCTCCCGACCACAACAAGATGTAATTCATTTTAGATTGCAGGAATTTTAGGTAAATGTTTTTTGAACTTTTCATGAGGTTATTTTAGATGAGTATTTGAAGGGGTTTTATCACAAGAATTGGGAAAAGGGCTTATTGCAGATACTTTACGTGGCTGTAATTGTATTCTTATTGTAAGCACTTGGTTCAAAATGTCACCGAACAAAGGCTTTCACAATTAGGCATTTAGAATACATGCAGTGCTTAATCTATGCATTTAAACCAATATTCTAAAATATTTCTAATTTCAGATACTTCAACTCACTGCAATTCTGGGGATGTTGATGCTAGATCTTGATCACATGAAATTAAAATTTATGTTGTTTTGTGTTTGCACAATGATATCATCTGCATGAGTTTTTCGTTATGCTGCATGAAGTGTGGAATTTTCAGAAGGCAAGAAGTAGAGGGGTTCAACATAATGTTTAGAAGTTTTAAGTGAAATTTGAAAAGTAAGTGACTATAATATTATAATTAATATATAAATGGATGATATTTTAACCCTTTTATTTTATACTGTGCACATTCTTGATTTACTTCGACAATATATAGATTCTAACTTCACAATTGTTTGCTTTGTTCATCCAAACAAGTATATTAGACAAGTGCACGAACCATACAAATTTATATGACATAATTATCAATTAGTGAATTAGCATAAACCTACTTATATTAGATTATTTACACACAATGGTATACAGTATCACGCACGAATCTCGTGCTGCATAGAGAGGAACAATGAAGTCTTTTCTCCTACCCAAGTTATGCAATTTTAATATCTGATTCTTGTTAAGTCAACTTGGTGAGTTTAGGAAGTCATGCATACATGAGATAAATGTGAATTTGACAGTTCTGACTGAAAAAAGAAGTTCTAGAAAAAAATAAGTAGGAGGTAGGACATAGTTGACAAATGCTTAGTGTGGAAAAGCAAAGGAAATATTGATATAAGGTAATAATCATGGTTAATTGATGTTTGATTTTCCTATAATATAAAGACTTTAAACTAATTAGATTGTACCAAACCCCTAAGCTAAGACTCATGTGTTCATAGTTGTATGTGTGTTTAACGTTTATGGTAAAGTTATTAATTTTGAGCTAATTATTACAGACACAAACATGCACATAGGCATGGCATTTCAGTAGACACATATAACGTAATCCTGAGAAGAGTATACACGAAACAATGATGACTCAGGGAGAATGTTGTATCTGATACACGTGATAAGTACATGTCATAGCTTCACATGATAACTGTTCACATGTCCTAGATTTTGAGTCATGCTGAGTAATGGAGAGACATCTGCCTCTCACTGGGTCATGTATACTAATTTGATCGACTTTGACCTGCTCCAGCAGAAAAACTTCATTTTTAAGATCAAGTTGGGAAGAGGATTAGTATGTAAACAAATTGACTTATGAAATTTATTTTTCCTGTAAATTTTGTGAATATTTAATATATTTCAATTTACATAAGTCTGGATAGTGAGTTGATAACCATAAAACATTGCCTTGAGTTTGTCAGGTCAAAATTTGTTTTTTAAGCATTATCTGTCAAGTCAAAATTCATTTTTAAGCATTCTCACAGTATGTATTATATCTATATAATATGACAATTATTTACAAATTCAGAAGTTAATGATTTTTGCAACTCATCAACTTCTTCTCAAACCTTTTTCTGGTGAGAATCAAGAAAATACTTTTGAAAGGTGAATACAAGCGAGAAACATGGTCATTTACATGTTACAGCCTAAAATCTTAGCACGATTTTGTGCTCTTACTTTTATCCACTCAAGTTTGCCATCAGGGCACTCTTTCTGTGATTAATTTTCAGCAGAAAATAAAGTTGGAATTAAAATTTTACAATTCGCTTCATCACAAAATAAATATATTAAAGTAGCTAGAGCAATGTGATTAACCCTTCTTCTACTTGGGAAACACACAAATAGTTACCTCCTGCGTAAGGTGCTAACTTAACAGACACTTCTATCGCTTCATCAGTCAATCAATTGTTTGTAAGTTGTTAACTATGTTACCCTGGGTACTCCTATCATGAAGCCTCTTCTGTACCAGACGCATACCCAATTCGTACCCGTACCCAAACTTCATGGAGACTCCTTTGATATATGCATACATTTATTCAGACATGTGGTCAACTAAATGATGTATGTTTTAATTTAAAACACTTGCCATTAGGGGTGACGGTGTTATCGGTGCGGATACGGTTCAGATATGACACTTATCATATCCATATCCGCTTTTTATAAACAGATACGGATACAGATATGGATTATCTTCGGTAAGAAAAAAACTTAACCATAGCCACACTCATTGGAAATGGATATGGTTCGTATATTAGAGAATCAGATCGGATACGATCACGGATATGAAATGGATATTTGACAAAGCTTGTCGATGACACTTATAATCACAAATTGACAAAGCAAATCCGATCAAGGCAAAATTTAAGTAGAATATGACACTTATAATCACAAATTGACAAAGTAAATGTATGTAAAACCAAGTTCTCCAGGCTCTGGATCAAACGCACACACAAAATCACCTAAGTTTACGCTCAAAACACATTTTCAGCCAAGCTCTCAGTTTACTTGCCAATAAACTAAACATGATCAATTTCCACCAATTTGTTGTCTGAGCTTTAGTAAAGAGAAGTTGGTAATCATTCAGTTCATCATTCACATTGCTTAAATAAATAAAAAAAATTCTTTAATGGAAGTGTCTACAGCAGAACCATTGGTTAACATTAACCTGTAGGTTATCAGTCTGATAAAATACCAAATCTTTCTAGTTTCTACTTACCTTGAAGCTTGTCGATGACACTCATGAATTGATTTTAAACACGGGCGGGGGCGAACTTGACGAGGCGGGCGACCTTGGCCGAGACGACGCGGGATCTGACGAGGCGATCCATATCTGACGCGATGACGGTGGATCTGACGCGACAACGGGGGATCTGACGCGGGACTGACAACGCCGATGCGAACTGGCCGCGAGCGAACCTATGCGGTACGGCGGCGTCGGGAGACTCGTGATCGTTGGTTGTAGAAATTGAGTGGGAGGCTGGAGTCCAGTGGAGGCTAGGGTTTTGTAACTTTGTTACTTTTGTAGTTGGGTTTTGTGTTAGTGGTTACGGGTTTGGAACTTTGATACGATCTGAATCCGTATCCGCAACCCTTATATCTGTATTCGAATCCGTATCCGAAAAAATCCGAAACCGAATCCGTATCCGCAACCCGGTTTTAAAAATAGCTTACCATATCCGCATCCATTCGGATATGGATGCGGATTGGTTCGGATAAATCCGAAACGTTTGGCACCCCTACTTGTCATGCTCTTCTGGAAATATATCATACACTTCCCATCCATTTCTTAAAACTCGTTAGACATGGGTCGAGTTCGTTTCATCCCATACCCTTGTTCAAAACTATGATTTTAAAGGAACGTTTAAGTGTCTAGTTAAAAAATGAGCAGTTTCCAATTTATAATAATCAACATAATCAAAGAAACTTAGAAATGTGATAAGAATCTTAATTTAATAACACAAGAATTGACAAACAATAATGATCTTATATAAATTATTAATTTAAATGTATGTAATGTAGACGTGTCTCTGTAACCTATATTTTACAAATTTACGGTCTCCCGCACCCGTACCCGTACCTTTTTTCGTGCAACATAGGTTGTTAATGATCTGTTTGCCTCTTATCAAAGAGCAAAGGTCTGTCAACGGTTTGTCTTGCATTGAAACCTATTTCACTTAAAACGAATCCCCCACATTCTGTACATACTTGTTAGTTGTTACTGAGGAAATCAATTTGTCAATAACTATACATTTACTTCTCTTTAATAAATATATATGTCGTTAGATCCCATTTATTCTCAAAATATTGATGATCTGTTCTTTTCAACCAAGGCACTAAAATTTGAAAAGCCTAATTCATAAAGGGTTTAACAAACCCCAATTATAGGTAGGGGTTCCAATGAGAAAGGTTAAAGTTCAAGGGGGGTTTGCGAGACACCCCAAAGTTCAGGGGGGGTTTCAGATAAAAAAAAGTATGGGGGGTTATATGCAAAACGCCCAAAGTTTAGGGGCTTTTGTGAAATTAGCCCAATTAAGAAACTTACATCAGCCAACAATTTGCTAGTTTCATTCGAAAGAGTTGGTTGGAACTTGTGACAAACATAAGAATTAGGTAATTGGAAGCGTACTATGACAAAATCTGGATATTTTCTATCATCTCTTATGCCTTGTTTGGGATTATTGGAAAAACTTTCTGAATAATTCTTTTTGCTTGTCTAGGCTTCAAATGTTTCCTTGATAGCACAAAACCATTGGTAGGATCCCGTTAAAATTATTTGCCTATAATAGATATCGATAAAACTTTTTGACTTTTTAGTCAAAACTAGCTGTTAGAGTCCTTTCCATTGCTTATTCAGTTAAATAAGAGATTGAAAGATTCTGTAATTGATTTGGAAAGAGAAGAAAAAGAATACTAGTTCTTGATGATATGAAGAACACGTAACTGAGAGATTGACTAAAGATTTCATCTGTTCCATGGCAAGTTTCCGAGAACTAAAGTAGTGTTTAATCGGACCATCCTAACACCCCTCTTTTCTCAAGATACTTGAAATCCTCAGGATTCTCCATGCATTGTCTAGGATCTCATCTCTTGTATCAAAACTGTGTTCAAAAGGCTTATGATGGAAGAATCAATGAATGCATATTTGATGGCCGAAAAAAATGAAAAGTTAGGTACCTGGAAGAAGTATAAGTTCAGGGAAGCAGGTACCAGCGTATAGACAGGTGATATGTCCTACCACTGAAATTTCCTTTCTTGAGAGGTCATTTCTGGAACTAGTATTGCACTGACTTCTTAGATGTTATTCCCTACTAGTGAAATCCCCTCAAGGATCTAAGGATCTAAGGAGCTAGCTTTACAATCCCTTATCATGGATGGATGCGATGCTCCAGTTTTGTACAAGTGCTATAATAGATGTATGATGACATTTGCTTTATCTTTTAATTCTCTCACTATGATATTTGCAACTGTCTACTTTTGGTTTTGAACCCTCAAACCTTGAAAATTTGTTGCTTAGAATAAGCCCTTGCCTTGGTGGTTAAGTGGCTTATTGATTCTTATGACCTGTATGAAGCCTATTTTTCCAAACGAATACCCCTGTGCATTTGCCTATAAACTCCTATGGCTGTGACTATCACATAACTCAATTTACAATGTGAGCCTTTTTAGTTGTCAACTGCAAACGACAACAAAGACTTTCATCCTTGTACTCGAGAACGCCAACCCGTAATGAGAATAATTTGGTCTCCTGAATATGGAGAAAAGGCGGTGTACTCCATAAAGCATCCTTGGTGAGCTATGGGTCTTTTAAATAGAATTGTTTGAGGAGCAAATGTAAATCAGTGACAGTTGTTCCGGTCAAGATCATAAATAAAAGTTACATATGCTTCATTTATCCATGATTCGTCCTACATTTCCACAGCTGGCTTTGGAAGACTCCTTTGTAGCTTGTTTTTGCTTCTTATGGGCTTCTTTTAGTATATAATATTTTGAATGCCGCTTATGTTCTTATTATTGTTTAGAATTTGAATGCATAAATTATGGTGAGATTTTAACTTCCTGATTGGAATACTGGTTGATGTTTTTGGTCAATGAGTCATCAACTTAGATAGTTGATGACTCACCAATAATGAGTTCTATGTTGGAAATATTTGATTTCAAAGATGTGACCTTGTGGAAAATATTTAAGGAAAGTTCTGCTTGAACTAAGAGCAATCTGACTTGGTAGTAGAGTTCCTCGTTTCATCACAGGCTTTGTTGTACACAGAGATTAGGCTATATTGGAAACAAGCAACACTAGCTATTCATTTTGTATTTGTTATGATACTGATGTTTGAAATTCCCTTCTTGAGGGTCACTTCCTAGATATCCCCTTCTTATTATCTGAGGCAGCAATATAAAAACCAACAAATGCATCCTTCTCTCTCTTGACATCTCTGTGATCCGTTGGAAATGTGGTATGTCTCAGTTCAGTTTTAAGCCTTTGACATTTTTCTTGTTATCAAGGACATGCTTTATGTGTGTTTCCCATTCATTTCATTTACTTTGTTGGGGATGCTTTTACTTCAGTAATAGTTATTCAATAACTGCACTGATTTGATAATCGTCTCCATATGAGAATAAAAGGATTGTACTTATTGTAGATCATTTTCTAATTCTAGACTAATGCATAAAATCAAAAGATATATTAAACTATTTATCTATCATGAAAGGTGACAGCATTGCATCTCAAAAAGGCACAATTCTGTGTATTTTTAATAATCTGCATTACTGCAAACATGAAATACAATCTGATTATTAAACATGTCAACACTTGCGGCTTTTCTTTATTATTCACATTGCCTTCATGCAGTTTCTAAGATATCTGATCAGTGATTTAAATTTTACATTCAGGTGAAAACCCTGCTTCGAATTAAAAGTGCGGATCGGCAAATGTGGCTTCTCACCTGTACATTTTTACTGACGGCAACTGTAAATCTCATGTTGTTTTCATTTAAGGCCAAAAATCTCTTTTTAGCAATCTGAAGATTCCGCAATGATTAGCATTGCAGTCATGATATTGCCAGTGTCAGTGAGTGGTTATATTGTCCACACTTTCATTCTTTGAACAAATGGTAGTGCAGAAATTTTACGTTTGGTTAGATATCTCGTACACTTTTTTGTCTGTGGGTGTTTAAGGATGACAGAATCGTTATGGGGCTATTTGGCATGCTGCAATTGTAAATGCAGATTGCATGCAGAAAATTTGCAGGCGACAGTTATTATAGAAATTAGCTCCCAGTCTTATCATTTGCATATTTGCACTTTGTTGTAGGAAATGTGTTTCCAAATGCAAATTCAGTGTTGTTGTTGGATTTGCATCTTTTGTTACAAGAAATTCCATTACAATTCAAATTTATTCTGGTGGAAGTTTAAAGTCTTACAGTTTGCGCGTTGGACTTCACTAGCTTGATGACATGACATTAAGTTTTTAAACTTTTTATTCTTATTTTATAAATTGCAGCTTAGTTGCAGTGAAATTGGGTGCTGTAAATATTGTATATGTTTAAAAATAGAAATCTAATTACATTTCTGAAAATAGCAATTAGGTTGCAGTAGTTGATAGATATTATTTGTTATTGCAAATTTATTTCTGTCACTTAACACTCCTACGTTGGGGTGGTTCGTCCCTCGCATTTTGGATAATCACAAGAAACTGCCTTTGTACAGTGTATTTTCTTTCTTATTTCTTCTGTCGTAAGTTGTAACAATAGCTTAAAACAGGTGAGAATCTTAAGATATTCTCCAGGAATGAAGTTTCAGTAGCTTTGTTACTTTTTCAGGGATTAATGAGTATTATATGTCATATGAGGAAATTCATTTAATGTACACAGCCTGTTTTTGGCATCGTGGGAAACTTGCTGGTATGCTATTAACATTTGAACTCATTTGATGTCAAAATGGAGTTATCCATCTGTTTTATATAATTTTCTAAATAAATCCATTCATATTTTTTTTCTAAAAATAGACCCTCTTGAGTTTTATTTACAAAAATAGACCTATTTTATCTTAATTCGGTTTCTAAATAGTGAGGCAGTCCCGACTATTTAGAAGGTTGTAAACCCCCAATTATAACCATAAACCCTAACATTTTATGTACTAAATAGTCGGGGTTGACAACCCGATTATTTAGAAACCGAATTAAGACAAAATTGGTCGATTTTTGTAAAAAAAACTCAAGGGGATCTATTTTTAGAAAAAAAAAATGAATGAGTTTGTTTAGAAAATTTCTTCTTTATATAAATGCATCAGGTTTCATGTTTAATGCCTAAAAGAGAATAGCATGTTAACACACTGAAATATTAGGAAATCTCTCTTTTAACATATTGACGTTGTATAACTACTACGTCGTAGATACGATAATGGGGAGATAAATCCCTTTTGGCATCAGGGTGTCCGAGTGTTACTAAATGACGTTTAGGGGGGGTTAGTCATCTAGAACTTAAAACTGGAATTGGGATAATTTGTGGGATAAATTTTTAAGGTGTTAGTCACATAGAACTAGGAAATGAGATATTTTTTTATAGTGTTAGTCAAGTAGAACTTTTGTAGAACTAGAACTGTATTATTTTTTTAGTGCGTTAGTCAAGTAGAATTCTACTAGAATTAGAATTGGGATAATTGGTCATAATTATCCCACAAATTATACTACCTATATATATAACCATAAGTTCTCCTCTCTCAAATTATCCCACACATTGGAAAGAATACAATTGGGAAAAAAAGTGAAACACCGCCTCCCTCCCTCTTGGTTAGTTTCTCCGCCTAGAAAATTTCTCTGCCATGAAGTCAATCATCCGTTCATTTTTCTATCTTTACTTTGTTTTTGTGATGATTAGATCTTTTATTATTATCTTTAAGATGTATTACTTTATTGATAGCTTTTTGACATTAAATTACTTTATTATTATTTGTTTGATCTAAGTTTTCTCTCCACATCAGTGGTTTAGGTTAAGAATATAGTGTTGGTGGGTTAGTGCTAAAGATATGCAGGCTATTTATGTTTTTTTATAAGTTAGAAAGCAACTTTGCGATCACATTGATGATTAGATGTTGAATGGTTAATGGTGATATCTATTATTATTAAATCGGCTCAGTAAATTGATTGTGATATTTATAGTTCATCTGTCGATCATCTTTTTAGCGGCCATGGATGATTCCTGTGTACATTTCATTTATTTGCTGATATGGTTTCAGCGATCATGATAAGATTGGTCCAAAGGGTTAATGGCTGAAAAATGCTTATTTTTCTTTCTTTATGATGTTATGAGATTTGAACTTCGACATTTATGATCCTCCGCTAGAAGCTCCACGAAATGTTCCTGATGCAGATGATGATTTCGATAAAGAAGACGAGTTACAGACTCAACGAGCAGTTGTAGGAGCTTGGAGAAATTCTATGGCAGATGCCATGTGGGATGATAGAAGCCATGTGGGATGATGGAAGTCGAGTCACTCTAGGGATTTAGATTTTTATTTATTTATAAATTATTTTATTATTTGAGATGAATAGTGATGCTTTATTGCATTATATTTTATAGTTATTACTAGAATTTGCTTATCAATATTATATTATTTTTAATATACAATTATTAACAATGCTAATTTATACCCACCATTACCCCCACCAAATTATCCTACCAAATTATACAACTTCATAATATTATCCATCATTATCCCACCAAATTATCTTACCAAATTATCTCACTTTAAGAATTACCCATCATTGTTCTACTAAATTATCCTAATGTCAAAATATTATCCCACTTTACCAATTATCTCAGTTCTACTTAAAAAGTTATAGGTGACTAACCCTCTATAATACATGGGTGTATCTGCAATTATCACTAACAAAAGTAAAGAATATCTCAGCACTTTTCAAAGGAACCAAGTAACTGGAGAGCATTTTGTGCGTACGTATATCATGAGATCTATCAAAAAGAAGGGGGGAAAACTTCTACAAAAGATGAAACATGCTTTCATGAAGATAGAAAGAACTTTTGTTACGTATATGGAAACTTTCCAAAGGACGATGTCTATTGCAGACATGATGTGCTGAGAGAACGTTAATATTAGTTTACTAATTTCTAAATCTCTTTTGGTTTGCATTGATACAAAAGCTCTCCTCAATTTCAACACCACACGGGATGGGAGACGAACACTAGAGTCAGAAAAATAGATATATAATAGTATGTTCATACAGTAGAGCAAAATCCGTTGTAGTCTAGTTGGTTAGGATACTCGGCTCTCACCCGAGAGACCCGGGTTCAAGTCCCGGCAACGGAAATAAATATTTTGCTCTATTTTGATGTTTTCTTCGCCCTTTTTGTCGTTAAACACATCATAAAAATCTATCAAACTGATTGTTTTCATTCTTCCAGTAAAATCCAACTAAGCCTTAGCGAAACCAAATTGCCCAATAAAAAAAAGCCCATTAGCAGATTACGTGTTTTTTGTATGCGTTAATTTCACAAAACAAACAACAGCGCAACAACTTAAAAAAAAAAAACCCCACACAGAGAGAAAACTTTTGTTGTGTTACACATAATCGCCATAAACTTTGTTTATTTTATATAAACTTTCTGATTTTTGAACTTTTCTCACTGGACTTTCTATCTGATCTTTGAACTTTTCTTATGGGACCTCCTAATATGTAGTTTGCGAATAACTAAAATTTTTAAATAGAAAAATAAAAATCTATGACAGAGGAGGTATGTTGCTAGTAAATGACAAATAACAAAAGTTTAGAATTTACTCTTAAGAAAATTTTAGTTATTTACAAATTATATGTAATTGGTTCCTCTAAGAAAAGTTCAAAGTTAATGAGGGGTTTGGTGAGGCATCCCATATTTCAGGGAGGTTATGTTAAAATAAACAAAGTTTAGGAGAGTTATGTGTCGCAACTCCCAGAGTTTAGTTGAGTATGTGATGTTAATCTTTTGTTTTAAATACAAATTTCAACTCTTCTATATAAGGGGTGTGTTTGACAAACACCTTAAAATAGGGTTAGGAGTGGTCTCGACCCTATTTTCAACTAAACTGGTTTTGTTTCGGACTGGGGGGAAGGTGGTCCAAATCAAAACTAGTTTTATGGATCCCAAACACATATTTGCTCAACCCTGACCCCATTTTCAGAACTTGCCAAACACTTTGTAGGTCTCTCCCTTTATTTGGCAGTCACATAAAAACTGTATTCGAATCAAATCACTCTCTATAATAAAAGATCCTACTACGCATTTTTGTTAATTAGTCACATCCTACTCACCTTTCACTTGTGGCATAACATTAGTAGTCGATTTGTATAGAGAATAGGGTAGGAAAGGGTGATGACTGAACTAAATCCAAGGAGAGGAAAGGAAAGGAAATGAGTGTGGCATAACAGTAATTGTGTTTGGACATGTAACTAGGGAATGGAGAGGGAGGTAGAGTGATAAAACCAAGTTGTGTTTGTTTAGGCCGGGCTGTTTTTCGTTTGCTTAAAGAGCCTAGGGAAACCCAATTCTGGGTCTAACAGTGAGTCCACATCGGCTTTTTGGTTTCAAAATTTTTCATTTATTGGGTTTTGGTTCAGTTAGGGCCTGTTTGTTTGCCCCCCCAAAAAGGGGAAATCAAAGAAATAGAAAACTATTAAATCAAAGAATTATTTTGGGAGTGTTTGGTTTGCTAAAAAAAAGAAGAAATCAAAGAAATGGAGATGAGTTGTCACCTTATTATAGGATGATGTGAGTGGTTTTTTAAAAAAACTTGTTTTGATGTTGTTTGGTTGGCGAAAAAAAAAGAAAATGAATTATAAGAAACCAATTTCTTAAAAAAGTTTGTTTGGTTATTTCTTAAAAATAAGAAAATAGATGAGCTGAAATGAGTTGTCATTGTATTATTGGGTGATGTGATCCAAGATTAAGAAAAGTGTTTTCACAACTTTTTGGGATGAAAACAAAGAAATGAAATGTTAATTTGATGAGATGAGTTGTCACAATCTTATTGGATGATGTGAGTGATTTTTAAATATGAGATGAGATGAGTTGAGTGATGTTGTTGATGAAAATAATATTTTATTGGATGTGGTGGATGTGATGGATGAGTTGTTGGATGAAAATAATATTTTATTAGATGTGGTGGATGAGTTGTTGGATAAAAATAATATTTTATTAGATGTTGTGGGTGAGTTTTAGGGATGGAAATATGTGAAATATTTTATTAGTGTCGTAGAGAAAATTTTAGAGGAAAACTCCTCCACATCAGCTATTTACCTTTCCCCAGTTTCCATCCCATAACCAAAGAAAACAAAGTGAAATCAATTATTTATGATTAAGAAATTTGGCTCACGCGGTTTGGCGTGATAGAGAGCATATTGTAACT